TCTAGATTCATTTCGCTTAGAAAATTTAAAATAATAAGGATTGTGGCTGTCACCAAGGGGCCCTGACTTCTTTTACTTAATAACTAATGTCCAGGAAAAAATGACTTTGATGTCCAAATGGGGGAGGTCTACCTGGGACTCTGAAATTTGACATGCCAGAAGAATTGCACCTCTATAATTGTTGGGAAAAGGACCATATTTATTTTCTGGGGGAACAGAAGCATAATGAAATATAATCTAAGAACATGCAAACTTATTATCTACCAGGATGGTTGAATGGTTATAATCAAATGAAGGCTAGCAATAGGGCTTTGTATTCGGATTTTAGAAGAACGACCTTACATTGCATTTTGGTGCAACAGTATTGGCAAATATATGAAGTGGTGGCAGACTCTCGTTTGTTTATACCATAATGAATGTATTTACTCTTTGAAACTTATTAGGTGGGCTAGGAAAAATGTCTTCCAAATTATTTCTGGAAATGGAAGCCGCACATTTTCATACAAGTGCTATGGGAAAACTGGCTTCTTGTCTAGCTGATAGTTTGATATTTTTTAATGAGCTCTTTCAGAGAATGCCTTTGTGACAAAGACTACACAGAGTGGGTGGATCCTGTGACTTGGCAAAAGTTGTTTCTTTTTTCTGGGAAGTGATGCATCAGTATCATTTGCGGTAGGAATCTTTTTATGAGAACACTTGCTAGAAGTTGCGCTATCAGGATGTGAACTTTTCCCAAACACTACTCCATTTTTTTCCTTCCTCTTAAAATTTATCAGTAGTCTCCTATTTTCTTTAGATGAAGAATACCACCTGTGGTACAGGCTGTGATCCTGTGACATCTCTGGTCCTGGCCAATTGCTCAGTCCCAATCGTGCCCTAGGCTTCCCTCTTCACCTGACACATGACTTCCTTCACCTTCACTTGCCTAGTAACATTCTACCTGTGTTTCAGATCCCAGCTCACATGTCTTCACAATATGAGACCAGGCTCCTTTATTCCACAGTCTCAGAACTCTCTGGAGTGTGTCCTCAATATTGCCAGTATTAGCTCTTTGTAAGATTGTGAACACAAAGAACAAGTCTGCCTGGCTCACCACTAAATGCCCAGGCACTTATGAGGGACTTGTTGAATACAAACTATATGAAAGAGTGAATGGATGCAGAAGGGTTACGTATCCTATTCTTATACATCTTCTATTTCATGTGCTGATGATATATCAAAGCTGTTCCTTTTCGCTGCTAATAGGGGATGAACATAAAAGTCCTGTATGTGGGTTTTACTTATTTTTTTAAAGTTATTTATTTGAAAAAAGAGAGAGAATAAATTCCCATACACTGGTTCACATTACAGATGCCTGCAATGTCTGCACGAGTGCAGAGTAAAACCAGGAGCTGGAAACTCAGTCTCCATCTCCCATGTGCATGACAAGAATCCATACATAAGCCATCACTGTGGCTGCCCGAGTCTTTGCTGGCAGGAACTAGATCAGGTGCGGGAGCCCAGAATCCAACTCAGTGAAGGGGGTTCAGGATACAGGTGATTTGCCCCCTAGGTTAAACATCCACTCCAAGTATGTGGACTTTGTAATTATTGCACTTACTAGCTGTATGATCATGGGAAAATCGCTTCAGAGTTTTCTGTATTCTAGTTTCAACATCTTCAAAATAGGGCAGACCTGGGTTTGAAGCACTGAGCCTCAAATGTATAATTTGGTTCAAGTTAACAATCTTTCTGAGCTTCAGGCTCTATAATCATAAAATAAGGTTAATCATATCTCTCTCCTTATCTCTCTATATCATCATCATCATCTCTTAGGGTTGATCAAAGTATTAATGAATATGGATTAAATGTCTTATGTATTTGCTTATCAGTATATGAGCAAGTGCTTAATCCATGTGCAGAACAGTGCCAGCAAATTATAACAATGATATGTTATTTTTTTCCATAACAGCAGCAAAGATAAAAAAATTGGCTAGTGTCTGCTCCTGATAACTACGTAGAGAAGAGAGGCATTCTCGTGTACCGTTGGGAGACACACCAAACGATGTCTTTGTTAATGTCTATCAAAATGGAAAATCCACATGCAAGCTGATCTAAAAATTCCCTCTCTGAAATTTGTTTTAAGGTTTTTATTTTAAAAAGTTAAAAAATATATTTGAAATGCTGAATGGCGCACACTTGCATGTGCACATACAGATTGAGAGAGAGAGAGAGAGATCTTCTACTCGCTGGTTCACTCCCCAAATGGTTCCAATTGCTCAGGGCAGGCCAGGTTAAAATAAGAAGCTCCTAACTCCATCTGGGTCTCCCACAGGAGGCTGAGACCTAAGTACTTCAGTTATTATCAGCTGCCTCCCAGGAGACTTACTAGCAGGACACTGAATCAGATGTGGAGGTGGAACTAGGTCCCGGACACTCTGGCATGGGCGCTCCAAGTGGTGGATTAACCCAATGCACTACAACACGCACTCATGTCGCCAGAACGTCATCCTGTAAGTGTAATCATGCATACTTCCAAAGAAGTACAAGGATAGCAATGAACATTGCGATTTAAAAAAAAAAACAAAATCTCTAGAAACAATAAAAACTTCATAGTAGGATGGGTTTAAAAATCACAGAACTGACAAAATGAAATAGGGTCATCAAAATAAGACTATAGGATTAACTTCTCTGTGTAACACACATTCCATGAAAAAAGGAAGATAAATTACAGAGCAAATCATGTGGCAATAAAATCTCATTTATGCAATACACAACCGTCTAAATGGGTGAGAAAACAAAAAAAAAAAGTCTTTAAATTTTACTGCAAGATATAGTTGCCAATGGAGAAGAGCAGGGAGAGTACCCAGGAGTGAGATCTATTTTTCATTGCCTATACTTTCTTTCCATGGTTAAAAATATTTCTTTATTTTTAAAGGTTTACTTATTTTTATTGAAAGGTAGATATACAGAGAGAAGGAGAGGCAGATAGGAAGATCTTCCATCAAATGGTTCACTCCCGAAGCAGCCGCAATGGCTGGAGCTGAGCTGATCCAATGCCAGGAGCCTGGAGTCTCTTCCTGGTTTCCCACGCGGGTGCAGGGTCGGTCGCAAGGCTTTGGGTCATCCTCGGCTGCTTTCCCTGGCCACAGGCAGGAAACTGGAAATGGAATATCTAGGACATGAACCGGTGCCCTTAGGAATCCTGGCACATGCAAAGCGAGGATTTACCCACTACACTATTGTGCCCGATCCACCTTCTTTGCTTCCTTCTTTGCTTCCTTCTTTGCTTCCTTCTTTCCTGCTTTCCTTCCTTCCTTCCTTTCTTTCTTTCTTTCTTTCTTTCTTTCTTTCTTTCTTTCTTTCTTTCTTTCTTTCTTTCTTTCAAAGACAACTGTCACAGTCTTTTATAAATTGGAATTAAGAGAATGGATTGTAGCTTACAGTGTGTGGCTGCTGCTGTCTTGATTGCTTCCTATTTTTTTATTTTATTATTTTCTTTAATATTAAGATTGGGCTGTCACAGTTGCTTCAGCATGAAAGATATGATACAACAGAGTAGCCACCACGGGAAGACTTCCACTAATGGGAGCACACACAGCAACCCACAGCTGCTGGTGCAGGCACAGAGCAGGCTGACTGAACAACTGGATAAGGAATATTAAGAATGGACAGTGGAATCTTGCCAAATCTTAGAACCAAAGTCTTCTCCTGAGAATTTAGTGAATTATCATCTCTGCCTTGAAAATGAGTAGTCTCTGCATTTAATAGATGAGCAGACGAAGTTGAGTAGCCTCACTATCCACTGGTCACACACCAGCCAATGGTGAAGAGTGTCAGACCCCAAGGAATTTAGTCTCAAGGCTACAGTTTCAGGTGTGTTTATAGAATATCTCAATGTTGTGTGCAGGGATCCCTGGGCTGTTTTTGATTTACTTTTATGTTTCTGATGTCTTTCCTTCTATTGCCTGCTTGCTTCCCCTCCCCAAACCCCACTTTTTTTGTTGTTTTTCTTGGAGAATAGATCCCATGATGGAATCCAGCCTTGGAACGCTCTTCGTGATCTCCAGTGGCCATCAGTGTTTTCATTAGAAGTGGCAGCAAAGCAGGGAAAAGTCTTAGAAGGGCCTGAGCAGCAAATGTGGTCTGCCTTAAGGGAGACCCCTACTTCATTGCTTAGTGTAGTTAGAAAATTATCCTGTGCTCCAGAGTCTGTCTCTGTCCCCAAGTGAATATGTTTTGGACAATTTAAAGTTTCTAATCTATTTTCATAGCAGCTGACCCAAAGATGCAAATATTGCATACCCTGGAAAAGTCTTGTGGAGAGTTGCTTTGTCTTAACAATTCTCTACTTCCTTTCTGGAATATTGCAAGTCTGAGAATGTTGGAAAGCTCTTTCAGGAGTAAATGACCAGTTCGTCTAACCAGAGACCATCAGTTGGCAAATGACTATTTTTCTTTTGAAACTGTGTTTTAATAAAGGTATTGAAAGGCTTCAGATATTTGCAATCATTTCATTGCAGTATAATGGTTAATTTCATCAGCTCTGTGAGCTTGATTTGTATGTAAGATTTTACAATCCATACATAGTTTGGTCTTTAATAACCACTTTATACTTCTTTTTATATAGGTCATGTATTCTCCTGGGAGAGTAACAAGATTAGAAATAACAGATACAGTACAGAATAAATTAAAATGCTCCAAACTGCATTATATAATTTCAGAAAATTGGCTTCACACTGCAATGTTTAAGTAAGAAAACCAAATGATTTAAGTTTAAAAAAAAAAACCTCCACATTATATGCATTTAGATTGCTATTGTTTAGCAAATTTTAGCCTTAGCATAGTGGTACCAGTATCTTGCTCCAGTGCTCCAGTAATGTGACAGTTCGTTTGGGTCAATATGGAAAAAATGATTATTTTTTCTTTATTTCTCATTATTTAAAAAGTTGGCTTATTTCACACTGAAGATGAATAGTGTTTATTAGTCAAACCATCAAGGGACTATCATAAAAGTAATTATATTATTATCTATAGTTCTGCAAACTCTTGTATACACAATGTTCCTATTACATTTAGTGCAATAAATTCAGAGGCTGTTAAAGGACAAGAGATAACAAAATTGGGACCAATACTTTCCTAATTACCAAGGATAATAAAAATTGGGGGCCTGGTTTTTCTTTCACAGCTAAATGAAGGCGATAGGCCGATTTAGAGAGTCTATTATTCTGGACGGTTTTGTTGGTTTCTGCGTCAAGTTTAGCATCACTCTCCTTGTACTGAGTCCTCAGGCCTTTTTCAATTTTTCTATGCGTGCATTAAAGGCCTCTTCCTGTATTTGCAGCTTTTCGTTTATCTCAGTCTGTGAAGACAATCATAAAAAAAGTGGTTATGATGGAGCTATCTTTGGCTGCACATTGTCTTTGTGGTTTTGACATACTATAGTGCCTAAAGACAGACATTATCCCTCACACACCTTCCTGTTTGGAGACATAGCTGTGCTTCAGCCTGTAGTGATGCGATAACACTTTATCATATTTCTCTGCACATTCCCAATGTATAGCATGTCTACTCTGAACAGGAAGTGGTATTTGGACAGCCATTTTTCACATCGCCTTGTGTTGGAAGATAGGATAATTTATCTGTATTTTCAGACAGACTTTACCAATAAGCACCGAATCAGAATAACTGCTCTGGGCTCAGTTATTGCAGTTGGTCCCTCCGCCCCTGCGGGATGGATGTTTTTGTCTCCTGCGCAACACATTCTAAACGAGATCCTGGAAAGCTGCTGTTTTGACATATCAACACAAATAATCTCACAATTAGAACAATTCTCATAATTAAGAGTATTCCTCAGACATTGTAACTCTTACACTCATGCCACTTTGCCATATCTTTTTGGTAGCAAGGAGCAAGCGATGACTGACAGGTTTTACTGATTGCTGTGGCTGTGGTGGCACTTAGCCTCTGGCACCGATGCTCTGTGAACTAACGCCGCTGCCTGCACCATTCCAGAAATGCTGTCATATTATCTGAACATTAGTAGCTCTGGAAATGTCTGTCCTTTGTCATGATGGACAATAAAAATATGTACAGAGAAGCCAGCAGTTGTACATGAGGCAAAACGAGGCTCTGTCGGTATTTTTAGGTGATGTAAAACACATTCACAAAGGCGTGAAGAACAGTCACCACACATACAGGAATCCAAAATTTAGAATGTTAAAATGTTTATATGTGTGTGTGTGTAATTTGAGGTCTTAATAATAACTGTATTTTAAGAAACCGTTCTTGTTTTCTTTTAGGTAGAAGAAAAAATTTTAAGTGAAATAATTTTAAATCCAGATAAAATTTTTTCAGGTTTATTCACTTAAGAGTATAACTAAAATAGATAGAGTTCAAAAAGTCCACCCTAGTTTGCTTATCTCATGATATTTTGCTTACGTTCATGGTAGGCACTGATATTTCTGAAAATATCCCACTGAAGTCAGTAATTTTGAAATTCAGGGTCTGACATGTGGTGTAGTGGATTAAGCACCTGACTGAAATGTAGGAATCCCTATATAGAGCACTGATTTGAATCCTCACCTCTCTACTTCCAATCTGCATGTTGCTAATGAGCTAAGATAATAGATGGTGACACAAGTACTTAGGCTCCTGTCACCCACGTAAAGACTCGGGTGGAGTTCTGGGCTCCTGGCTTTAACTTGGCCCAGCCCCACTTGTTATGCCCATTCGAGAATGAGCCAATAGTAGATCTCTCTCTTCTTTAGCATTCTGCCTTTTGGACTACTAAAATACATCTTTCAAAAATTCTGGATTTAGAACTCACCAGCATATCAGTCTCTCTGATCAGATTTTTTAAACTTCAGGATTAAGTTCTGATTTCCAATTTCTAAACTGTTCATTTCTTGGTAACTGAGTGTAAGAGGCAGGCAGAGAGAAAATGGTTCTCCAAGTTACAGAACACTGGCCACCTTCCACAATGCTTTAATCTGCTCATGTATGATTCAGTACCGTTCAAAGGAACACTGAGTTAAGAATGTGGACATCTAGGGACCAGTTTAGCTATGTAGCCCTGGGTAAGTTGCTTAATCACCCTGTTAATTCATTTATGGAAAATTACACAAACAGGATTATGCTAGCATTATGCTCTAGTTTATCAATTTGTAATCTCAAATTCCAGTCTCATGATGTGTTTCTCCAATGATACATTTCCTTAAGGTGTAGTCATGAGATTTTTTTTTTAATTGCCACTCTTGCGTTCAGCAAATAGATGACATACAACACACTGGATCATTCGAAAGCGGAAAGGGTTTGAAGAAATACTCTTGTCACAATTACAAAGAGCAACCATGGTCTTCTCCAGCTACAAACTGGAGTCCTGTCATCTACCAGTTTGTTTCACCAGCTTGCCAAGGTTTTCACATCAACCTGTGATGTTTATGGCATTTCCCTGAGACAGACATTACTTTTTTTTAAAGATTCATTTACTTACATGAGAGGTGGACAGGAAGGAAGTGATGTTCTACCCATTGGTTCATTTCCCTAATGGTTACAATGGCTAGAGCTGTATCAGACCAAAGTCAGAAGCTAGGAATGCCAACTGGGTCTGCTACCTAGGTCTCAGGGGCTCAAGGGCTTGGGTCAGCACCTGCTACCTTCCGAGGTGTATTGGCAGGAAGTTGTGTTTGAAGCAGGGCAGCTGTGACTGCAACCTGCATTCTGATAAGGGATGCCGGAGAAGGCTTGCCCTACTGTGCCATAATGCCAACCTCCAGACAAAATAGAATGACCTAGGCACAGCCCTTGGAGATAATGTTCAGGAATGTAAGGCAGGCCTGGTAAGGCACTGCTGACAGAGGTGACATTTCAGATCCTTGGACCTCAGTGATCAGACAACCAGCAGCAACTAGATCCCAAGATATCAAGTGTCAAGAACAGGCTCTCAATAGTCTTCCACATTGACTTGCTATTACTCAGAACAGTGCTGAATAGACAAGCTAGCCTAGCACCACTAGGGCCGAGACAGATTCTATTTTACTCAGAAAAGAATGGAAAACCCATGTTCAACACTCTTGTTGACCACTGCCTGAAGGTGATTTTTCTCTCAGCACTTCTAATCTGAAAAATTCAAATTGGCGTAAAAACACCTAGGGTCCCAAGATACCAAACTTCCCTCAAGGTTTTCATATTATTTTACCTGATCGCTTAGATGGGGCCAATAGCCAACATTCAGTGCCATAATGTAATGTTAGCATTCATATTTCTCTGAAATGTAATCCTTCAAATATATTAAAGTTTGCTCTATTGGACATAATTTTTATCATACAACAGGGCCAAAATAATTTCATTTTGAATGTGTCTTTTAAAATTAAATACCTAAACTATATAGGCTTAAAATGTTTGCTCTATTCATTGTAATTTTAATTAGTATCTCAGGGCCAAGATAATTTCATTATTAATAAATCACTAAGACTATAAAGTGAGTCAATGGGAAAATAAGTGGATTAACATTAAAAAATTCAGGATTCACACTATGTTTTCTGAAATTACTCTATTACGGAAGATGAAAGATCTGTAACGCTGCTAGAAAAGGAGCTGTGAGAAAACTGTACTTGAAGGCGCATGTGCACTGCCCACCAGGTGCAGCTACCTCTGAAAGGTACTGGACAGTGTGTGGTTTCAACAGGAACCACTGGCAGAGTCCAGGCCACAGCTCCCAGGCAGAGCCTCTCAGCAGTTGTCCGCCTTGAAAACCTTGGCCACAGGACTCAGTCTTTCTGTGTCCATTTTTAAATTTATCCTTGGAAGTGCCTGCTTACTAGGATTATTGAAGAAAATACAGAAAGGAGCTTGCTGTCTTTAAGACATTGTGCAAATCCATTGAAAACTTCATTTACAAAGAGCGTTACTTTGGCTCAGGTTGATGACCACAGATTCACTAGATGTGGCAGGTAAAGGGCCTGCATCTCTTTCTTGTGGCCAGAGTTCTCTCTGTGCCTAACTACCTCTGGGTGACAGGCAATGAACTTCCAGGATGGCTTCAGGCCAATGGGAAGATAATGCGCAGATACAGCAATCACATCCCTTTTGTGACTGAGGACAAGGACCAATGCTACAGACTCAGATGATTAAAACAATTCAATGAATTGCTAAAGACATACTGCTCAGTACGTGGAACACAGCCTTGATAAAAATGCCTTTTTTTTTTTGGAGGGGGAGGGGTCCTGCAAACAATTCTATTACTGTCCAGTAGTTCCTCAGTAATCATTTCAGGGCTGCAGGACTGCAAAGAAGCCGAGGGCTATGATTAAACATAAACTATATTTAGATGAAACGTTATCAAATCTGGAAAGGAGATATGTTCTGAACTCAGCCTGATTCCACTGCACTCTGCCCTTCCACACAGCAACTAGTTATTACATTCATGGAGTTGTTAACAATGAAGCTTTGTATGAAACATGTTCCTCCACTATTTCTGGTAAACACTAAACACCCCTCATTAAGCTGAAGACTGGTTGATTCTGTTGGCACCAAATCGTTAAATGTTCATGTAAATAGTGCAATGACGTTTGATGATTAAACAAGCAACAAGGTGGGCTTATGCCAAGCTAATCTCTTGTCCCTTTCTCTTACGTAGTCTTATGCTCACATAACAACTAAATCTTCCTTTGGAGACAACATTTTAAAATACACAATGTGTTGTCCATGGATTTATGGTCATGTTCACAAGCAAGTGCAAATTCACTTAAAATAGAGATTGATTTAATCATTCAGCCTAGCAAATCATGTGAATTTCCGTAAGTCTTTGTGGTGAGATAGACCTAGTGTTGTTGAGTTGTATCTTGGATAGAATTAGAAAATTTAAAAAAAGGTCATCAAGATGTCAGCTGATTGGCCTGTGCTGGCTGTTGCAAAGATGGCGTTTGCCATCACTTCTTTCATGAAGCCATTGGTGTGAACTATTGAGCTGTTAGTGGAGAAAGGAACAAACACTTCAAGAAGAGTTCAGAACCTTAAGAGCCTCCCAAAAGGCATTTGGTGAGAAAAGTCAGTCAAGAATTATGGCTTGATTTACAGGGTGTACTGTTTGGAAATGTACGGCTATTACTCCTGTGCAAGCCATGCTTACTTGTGACAAGTCATGGAAGTATTTGCCATCCTATTTTCTAAAGTTTTACTGCTAAAAAGACTTTGCAAACTGATAGCACACCACACTGGATCCTGTGGATCCCCAAGCTCTTGTGTGACTCAACTGAAAATTAAGCAGCAATGTGAACTTGAATTGCATTCGTAGTGTCGCTCTCGCTGCCAGAATGTGGCGAGTGTCCAGATTCACAAAGGGGGAGGTTGGCTAGTCAACAAATCACAAAGTATCCAAACTTGGTACCTGAATGCTGAGTAACACATCATCTGTGACTTGACCCAACACTGATTTTACATCTTCGATGGTGAAACCAGCCAGAAGATCTACTTCCGAAGTGGCACTTTCTAGCTGGGAATCCTCGGGGCCTTGCTCTTGATCCACAATCTAGAGTATGGAAAGGAAATAAGACTTGGATGATTTCTGAGACATTTACAGACTTACCAGCAGCCTCAATTTTCCGTTGCATCTTTTCTACCAGAAACTATGTCAACCTGGAGGGAGATTTTCCTCTTCTATTATCATATACATATATTTATTGTCTGTGAAAATTATGACAGATCAAGTCAATGTGGTCTAGGCAGTGCCTACTTTTAGGAAAATGTAGGTGGAGGTTAGGGAGGCGGACCTGGAAGAGAAGACAATTGCTGAACCACCGTCAAGCTGGCCCATTTTTGAATCAACATTAACATACATGTTTCTACTTGCTCGGGGAATAATGGAGGCAGAAAGAAAACAGAAGAATATTTGGTTCTTTCTCTCCCAGATAATGGAAGGATCATATTGAAGTGGAGTGGAGTGGTAAGAGAAAAATAAAGGAGACACACCTTTGTTTCTGCATCCAGTGCTGGGGGTGACTCTATGAACGTTGAGTAGATATCATATGAGATCCCTTCTTCCAGAGGATCTGGGAAAGGGCGATCTACAGGCTTGACAACTTCTACCACTTGCTGTAAGGAAGAGAAGAGCTTTTTCATGACACAGCTTTCAATGGGAAACCACACTTTCTGTCCATTTCTTGGTATAGATATCATGGTTCCATGTCAGTTCTCTTAAGCAGCATTTACCCTGAATTCTTAGTTGTCCTGCTCTCTTAGTTTCCTTGAGCATTTTGAACTCCAGACTTACAACTGGTTTTTCCTTCTTCCACTGCCTCATTCCTTCCTGCAACCAGTGGTTTACAATACGATTTTGGATTGGCTTGCTCTTTATTGAATATGCTAGGATATCCTTCTACCTGTGTACAAGCTCCCTGTGGATGCAAAACCCCAAGTTTTAGGCCCTGCAAGTGTATCTTACCCAGCTGTAGCAGAGGGTCAAGTTCTTCTAAAACTCAATACCAGCCTGCTTATGATTAGGACCACTAAGTAAAGTATGGGTGGTGTGTGTGTGTGTTGGGGGAAGGGATGACCACAGTGAAGCAGCCATCAAGAATTCAGTTGTGAGGACAATAAATGCTCTGAAACTTCAGTAAAGCCAGGACAGAGGAGATCTGAGAGAAGAACTTGCCAAAAACATAGAGGGCAGGGCAAGAGTTTACCTTAAGTATTTAACAACTCTTTAATAAGAATGTGCTAATCAGAGGATAGTGACAGCTGGTCGATACTGCAAGTGGATGAGAGTCAAGGAGCCAACTTCAGCAGTGCCCTTCCCACCAAAACTTGAGGGAGGGAAGGAGAGATGAGAGTACCAATGGAATTAAACATTCAAATCATTTAATGAGTTCTTCTTGTTTTAATTCTACATTTAACAAGCAACATTTTGGTCATAATTTGATCCCCCATCTCAGTTGATCTGTAAGAATGTGCTCACTCTGGTTTTTGTTCTTGTGGTATCACTTATTTAAATCAATAAAATGTTCCAGTTGCATAGTCAATTCACATGAGTGTGCTATTGTGGCCTTAAACTGAAGTGACTCTGTGTTGACAAAGTCAGACTCTTAGCTTCTGAGCATGTGCAAGTTATAAAACAAACTGCGAAAACATAAATTCATCAAGTGAGTATGAAGCCTAGATAAAATCATGAAATAATCTTATAATCATTTCTTACTTCTTCACAATATTTCAAATAAATGTACACATCATGTTTCATCATTTAAATATTAATATTTTATCTAGAGGGACTTTAGAAAGGATGCTAAATTATTTCTTGCTCTGACAAATGTAGATATAGTTTGCACTGAATTCATAGTATTAATGTTGGTTTGATAGAAAGTATAAATCAACAAAAGCAGTCAAGAAATTTGATAACCAAGAAGCTAAGTGACTGACATAGGTCAAATAATGACTTAGTTACAGAGCAGAGAGCTAAACTCTGGTATGCTGATTTCCTGGCATTTTGCAGATTTCAGTAAAGTGAAGTAAATCACCAAGTATCTATTTTTGGAAATTATTGATATGTTTAGTTCTTAATTTTTATGTAACATCATTGTAGATTGTTTATCTTCAATAGGCTATGTGTTAATCAAGATGGAGTATTTTGAAAACCTATCAGAACAACTCTTTCTCTTATAACATTGACAAATTAATTCTTTCCCCCTCATGGGGCATGCAAGTGTTTTCATCTTCCTTCCTACGGTTATTATGTATCTTTTTCCATACCACTCTTGGTTTTTATTCTCCTTTAATTGTTATTTTACCAATCTAGGAAACGGAGGCAGCTAAATATAAGGGCACTTTAAAAATCACGGAAAGGGCCTGGCATGGTAGCCTAGCAGCTGAAGTCCTCGCTGGGATCCCATATAAGCGCCGGTTCTAATCCCAGTGGCCCTGCTTCTCATCCGGCTCCCTGCTGGTGGCCCGGGAAAGCAGTCCAAGACAGATCAAAGCCTTGGGACCCTGTACTCACGTGGGACACATGAAAAGGGCTCATAGCTCTTGGCTTCGGATGGGCCCAGCTCCAGTCACAGCTCCAGCTGTTGTGGCCGCTTGGGGAGTGAATCATTGGATGGAAGATCTTCCTCTCTGTCTCTCCTCCTCTCTGTATATCTGACTTTCCAACAAAAAATAAAACAAATCTTTTTTTAAAAAGTTCATGGAAACCTGGAATTCAGGTCGGGCTTGGCCTTAGGTGCATCAATTCAGATGTGATTTCGGGTGCCCCATCCTATAAAGGAGTGCCGACATTGGCATGCCAGCTCTGCTCCCAACTCAAGCTTCTTGCTCGTGCGTATCTAGTTAGGCAGCAGTAATGGTTTAAGCATGTGAAATCACATCACCCACTGGGAGACCCGGAGCTCCTGGTTCCTGAGCAACTGGGGACAAAACCTGCCTCGCTCTTAAAAAAAAAAAATTAGTTTTGGTGCTAGTTCTTCGTGTCATTTTCCCCTACTTCCTGGCAAAAGTTCTTAGCAGAGAGCCTCTGCATTTTGGTAGGAGCAGATTCTACCATCCTGATCCTGCGTGTGCTTCCTCATGCAATTGTACACTTAAACGCAAGCAGCAGTTTGTGTTCCAGTAGCTCACTTCATCCCCACACCTCTGGGATCCAGGCTGCTTCACACAGCTCATCTGAATGACTTGCAACGTACTGGCTTCCTAGTCTTTGGCCCCGTGCATGTACGTATGTGCGTGCATGTGTCTACTGAAACTTAGAACTCTTACGTATCCTCAGTCAAGGACTTATGTGGAAAGAAGCTCCCACAGAACCCAAGAAAACTCTTGACGAAGAACCGGACTTTTCCTCTCCTTGGTTTTTATATGTAGCTGATAGAATGGATCATTTTGATTTAATTTATTTAATTTGATTGAATGAGTACACAAAAGTAGGGAGCGAGAATTCTTCCAGGTGTTTTGGATTCTCTTAATGAAGCAAATCATAACTATGGTTTTCTCTTTCAGGAGTACTGCGTGTGTCTGTGCTAGGGAGATACTGTAAGGGAATGAACGAGCCCAATTCCCCATGAGAGTCAACAGAAAGCCTTTCATTGATAAGCAGAAGGTACGCAGTAAAACACAGTTTGAAAGACACACACTGCCCAGAAACATCACAGTGATTTTCCCCATTAAAAGTGATAGCCTTTTTAAGAGGCAAGTTGAAGGAAAATTAGAATCAATAATTGCAGTGAGAGAGCACAGCCAGCGAATGTGTTTAAATGAAACCGTCTGATGCAATACTTTCTTTAAACACACATACACACACACACACAATTAGACCTTTGTATTTTTTTTTAACAAAACCTCATGTTTTACAACATCACTGGTTCTGTAATAAAATCTATTTAAAACAGAGAGACATGGTCAGCTTTATTAAGTTAGATTTTCTGAAGGAACGTTATAATTTCCTCAAGTCTATGAATAGTTGAAGCAAATTAAATAACACTAGCCTTATAACTATTTTTATACATTCTTGTAGAATTGTAATTGTCTCATACTTTTTTCCTCAAAAGTCTAAGACATTACCTCTTAAATCTAAAAAAAAAAAAAAAAAAGCAGAAAGGGGCTCAAGCATGTTTATTAAAAAAAACTTGGAATTGGTGCCCTGATGCAAGCCCCCCTCTTTCTTCTAGACGAGCATAGCACCCATAATCTTCAGATCAGGAATAAAGGGAAGGAATTTCAGTGACTTGCCTGAGGCCTAATGCTGAGATTAAAAATCAAGAGTTTCTGATTAGACACATACATCCATTTGCCAAAATGATTGGTTTTGCTTGACTTTCAAATACCCCCTAAATATTACTTTGAATGTAAAGCAATAAATGTGTTTCTCTTGCCATTTTTGAATGCCTGCACACAAATGGATATAATAAAAAACAATCATGTTGTTCCATGCGAGTGCCATTTATATTTTTTCTGATAATGAGCAGATCATTTGAACCAAGGTGAGTACATTAAAAGCTTTAATAGAGAATAGATTTCTAAACAGAATAATGGACTGTTAAGCGAATCTACAATAAATAACATCTACAGATGTGGTTGCTACAAAATTAGTTTTACATAACTTACCAATATATATTTCCCCCAGATGTTATCTGTTACATGAAAATTAAGTTAGTTACATTATTCATTATGTGCACACTGCATTAGTGTTACTCAATCTGGCTTATAATCTGTGTTTTACTTGAATTGTGTTATGGTATTTGCAGAATCTCAAGTCAATGAAGTTTTGGCATAATTTAATACATGTAAGTACAAAATTTCATTGTCAAACATTACGTAGCATTAAAAAAATCCAAGATCTTTATTTACAAGTTAAGTTAAATCACAGGAGATCGTGAGAAGTTCCTCTATTAAATATTAGGTGGAGGAGTGCCATGGAAATAAATCTGAAGAATTTTGAGCACTTTTGGAAGCAGCACAAGTTCCACTTGCTCGGTCTCAAATCACGCTTATTAGAATTATAATCTGCTTTTAGATCTTGTGTCTGGAAAGTAGCACAGAGATTTTTATCTCAGAATTGTACTATCTATTTTTCTAATTTATGAGTACACATTGTTAATAGTATCAACTCAGATTTGTTTTTTTTTCTTTAGTTATGATTCTTTACAGAAAGTGTATTCGATTGTATGTCATGTTTATATGAGTAACATCTACCATTGAGATGGCAATTATTAAATTATTAAAATAAATCATTGCATTATTCAAAATCCCCAAAATGCCAGTGAGATTACAACTCTTCACGGCTGTGAGTGGCAGAAACCAAGATAAATCTGTTCAACCCTTTTTGAGCCACAGGCACACAGACAAAAAAAAAAAAAACCAAAAAAAAAAAATGGGTGTGCTTTAAAAAGACATTTGTTTGGAATTGTCAGATGATGACTTCATATGTAAATCAGGACTTACTAAAAAAATGTCACAAAAAGCAAACTTTCTTCACTTTTATGTGAGGGAAAACAGGCAAAAAAATTCCTGTTAACGTTTTAACTGCTTTTCCCCCTTAAAGAAAGGCATTACTCATTTGCAAGTGTAATTAAGAAGTACTCCTGTAGTTCTGGAAATTTTTAACGAAAAAT